CTATCAGCACCCAGGTGATGACAGAATAAATGCTCATATTCCAGCATACAGCATTCGCATTGAACAAGAGTGAATGGTTTGTCCACATTTTTATTTTTTTCCCCAATGGCTGTTGTTGTAATGTATTGAGAAGCCAGAATGCGCATCCATCAACAGAAACGTATATTAGCCAAACCCTGTTTGTTTTACATGTTATAGCAAGCCATATTACAGATGCGTTGTCAGATTTAAGTTGAACCGCGGTCGTAGCGTGCGCCGAACCGTACGGTTCGATTTTTTCCCGCGAACCGTTCCAACCCCTAATGACAACACTTATAGGATGCACTGAGGAGGAGTCCAAACTACACTCAGAAGCCAAGTGATGCTTGTTATGGTCCATGATATTTGTACAGATTCTGTGTCATGAACAATTCTTTGTGAAGTTTCAAGTTGGAAAAGACGTTTAGTTCCCACTTTAAGTGAACCTTAGTTCCCAGGTCATCTACGAGATCGATTAAAATGCTGATAAATTCAAGAAAAGATGAGACAAACACATGAAAGTATGATTGAAATGTTAAAAAATAATAATAAAATAAAACACGGTTATTCTGTGGCACCTAAAAAAAAATTATTTGTCGCCTAAAATTCTCTTATAGGAGCCAATGGCTCCTTACTCGATTTTTTTGTTTGGAGCACTGTTATTTCACAAAATGTATTCTGTATGCATAAAAAAACTGCGAAGATGCATCTGAAAATGCATGCCCTATAAAGCACTTCAAAAAAATCAGGATTGATCACACTAGTCATAAACAATAGTTTACTGGTATTGAATGAGATAAAAGTTGCCTATGAATGTGTTTTGAAGGTGCTCCTTAAAAACTTTTATAACGCTACTTTTTTAATAACGTAAATGCAGAATATATTGGCCACTTTATAGATTTTCAGTGAATAAAACCATAAAGGGAGAGTTCACTCAGAAATTTAAATCTGTCATCAAATACTCACCTGTTGTTGTTCCAAACCCATAAGACTTTCACTCACCTTTGAAAGATATTTTAAACGAATCCTCAGTCCATGCAACCAAAACTTTGATGCTTTGCGTTGATAAACGAAAGTTTTATGGCTGCGTAACAACATAAGGGGGGACTATTTGATGACATTTTTGGATGAACTTGCGCTTTAAAAATTTAATAGTTTTAGAAGACTATAGTGTAGAAGACCACTTTTATGATGCTTTCAATAAACGGAAATATGGAGTTGCCAGTATAATTTTGTAAAAATGCAAGGAAAAGTCATACAGATTTAGAACAACATGAGGGCAAGTAAATGACGGTTTTCTTTTTTTGGTGTAAGCAAACAAAATTTAATATCTGTCATTTTATTAACTATAATAAATACCATGTCAGCCCAACTGTCTATATCAGGTTCTCATCTTTAAGTTTCCATAAAAGCACTGTGACGTTGAATCTAGGTATCAGATCTCATCTGCTTCCGATGTTCTCCCCAAAGCATCCTCTCCCAAATCAGTCATGCTTCAGCCGAGACGTTAAACCACGCAGCGAGCCGTCTGCCTCAAGCTGGTGGAGGGCAGCGTTTACACGCTTGGCTGTGTTAGTATGTACACTAATGCAAACAAGGCTGGAATAAAAGCGCACCCACGGCTGCCACACGTACACAATAACTAAAGGAGGAACACCCAGCTGGCAAACAACACACCCAGTGGAACCATCTCTGACAACAGTAAACGGCAAAAAAATGTGGAAAACAAAAAAGACCACAGAGACTTAACACAAACCCAAAAATTAGCATTCATACTAGAGGACACGCGCATGTGTTGCCGTTCTTACACTTAAGTCCACTTCGCAGGGCACTTACGGTCGAATAAGACAACGCGTGAATGCTGCCTGAACAAGAGACCTCCTTACTGAAGGGAAAGTGTTGACTGGTGTCACTATATCGAGAACATGCCGGCGGATCTCCACCAAATTCGGGGGATCCCTTCAGCTCGAGGAGCTATCTCGAACGCCACACTCCGCGCGTTGGTAGCCCCCCGGGATCGCCAGATCGGTCGGTCCCGGACCACGAATTTATCCACCCGAGACTCCCGAACCCCGGGGGCTATCGATGCGGGGGTGGTCTCATTCGAAAGAGGGCCTCTAGACGTACACTCGATTCACGTTCGAGAGGGTTTCTCGAGCTGAAGGGATCCCCCAAATTTGGCTTAATCTTTAAAGCGTTTCATCCAGGTCGCCAGTAGCAAACAATGGTTTGTCCTCTGCTGGACAAACTAAGTAATTACACGATTTCAAGCATTTTATCTGCATTATATGTTCTGTAAAAAAAAAAAAAAGAGTCATATCGGCGGCATTTTCGCCGATACCGATATATCGGCGACAGGCTCATATCGGCCGATAATATCGGCAAACCGATATATCGGTCGGGCTCTAATATGCACTGTATTAAATATTATATTTTTACCTAATCTGTTCGATATTTAATTTTTGAATAAAACTATGAAAACTAATCGTAAATCTGATCATTAATTTAAACGACGACTGATCATGGAAATTATCAAAAATTGACATCCCTACTACATATCCAACTGAATCAGTATTGAATTGAATCACAAGCTTGCAAATCAAAATCAAAACTATTTGTGAAATTTATCTCAAAACCCAGCCCTGTTAGCAACCACCCATGACTCTCCAGCATCACAGTCACGGCTTTTGCACAGCAGGCACCACTGACGTAACCTTCAGTAAACATCTAGTTTTGTGTGAAATAAACTTCAGTGTGCACTTTAAGTTGCATGTCAATCCAAAAACATGGGAGACAGGAAATAACGGATCTCTCCATGCTGAGCTGTGGAATTTCCTGATGAGAGTCTTAAGTTATGCTCTTAAACAAAATGCTACTTTCTGCAACACAAAACATGAAACCCACTGACATTAGGACGTCCACTGAAATTTGGAAAGCATGCTGGATTCGGCTTTCTAAAACAAGACAACTGAAATGACCATGTTTGTCTTCATCTTGCCTAGCGTCTATCATCACATTTTTAACAATTTTACATTTTATGGAGAGTGAGGGATACTTGTCTGTGCAAAACTCGTTGCCATGATGCTGTGAAGTGGGTGGTTGCTCCTATAAACAATGATTCGAAAAACCATCAAGGTTTCGAGTCTAAAAGGTTGAGAATCACTGCACTGAACTCTCTGCATAACAGTGATATTCAGCTAACTGAAACCTCAACAGACGTTGCATGAAGACTTGCACGGGAAATGGGGATGAAAAGAAAACTTCTGCTTTCCTTGAGACTGATGGCAATTGTCACTGCACTGATTACAGCAGCCCTCACAGAAATCCACATCTGGCAGAGATGCTTGGTGTCTCGCCTATACAATGCATAACTTGCAACAAGGTTTCACTCAAGAGAGCATATGAAGATTAATATCAGAGTCAGTGTCATTACATTCCACAGCAACACTATCACAGTCAGCAGTTGAACGGCTTCAAAAGTCTCTATCAGTCCAAGTGTAACATACATAGACATTACATAGAGATGATTATGTCTTATAAACTCAAAACTTAAAATATTAAATTCAATGCAAACACTTGTTGCACATATTTAAGTGCACAGATTACACTAATTCAACACATCCCTGCTTGCAGACTAAACCGCACACACTGGAAATAAGGGCTTTTGCAGGAACTGCCTTCATGCAGCAGAGTCACGCTGACGAGAACAATCAGTTTCTGATGGACTGTAAGATTGTCACATAGACCAGGTTATGGGGTGAAAGTTTTACCTGAACCCAGTTGCTTATGGGACAGGTACGTGTCTCACCTGAGCCTGGTTTGACCTGACGGGACAGATAAGAACTAGAGAGCGACCAAAAGTGTTCTGACTACCACATTGGACCGATATTCAGACTTTTCAACTAGTTATCGGTTCTTTAATAGCGGGTCTGCCGATTAAACGTGAACATTTGACAAATATCTACAAATCAACCAACAAGAGTGCTATATATACACTGCAAAATACGCAAACGTAATTATAAATAACAGCTACTTACGAAAATATGCAGCTTCACAATTAAAAAAAGATTTTTTTGACCATTTAGATCACAAAATATTTGATTTATTATTAATTTATTTATATGTACTTGCATGGTTGTCCAACAATATCTAGTGATTATCATCAAAATTATTTATTTGAGAAATATTAAATACAAATCATTTGGACGATTTTAGAAATAAAACAGCTCTGCATTCGTTATCAGGAAAATAACAACTAGAAAAACATGCATTTACAGATATTAATACATTTCAACTTAATCGGTTATCGGTCATTTAATACTAAAATGATCAATATATGACGCAATTTGATGGGTATCTAAACAACAAAATATTCTCCATTGCAAAATATATCAAAGTAACTTATTTTTTTTTTTTTATATTATTTTCTATTTTTGAGAAACAAGTAGCCATTAAGACAACACAAAACAAACAAACATCCGACTCTTTAGGTCAAAATAATTCTGCATAAACAACAACAGCAATACTCTTAACTAAAATATTGATAATGCCTATGTTTTTATTGACGCTTAATGATCAACTAGTCATTATTGTGTAAACATTAGGTTCTGCATATCAGTTTTCAGAAATCAAACAAGAATCTCTAGCAAGACATGGACCTGGGTCTGTGGGGGTTTGAGGCGGACAACCGAGGTTAAGGTGTCTCTCCTGAACTGATCGATCTCTGGTGGGACAGGTGAGAGATTTTTGACGTTGAGACTTACCTGGCTTCTTACAGGACAGGTGAGATCGCTACCTGCGAGACTTCCCACTGAACACGTGAGAGTTTCACCTGGTCTACAGGGTTTCCGATCGGACAGCCGAGCGAATGCGTTACAAAACACACGACCTGGTCTAACTTAGTTCTCGTCCGGATCTGAACTAGACTTCTGATGTGAGCTCTGAGAGGTGTTCAGGTTCGACAGGTGCGAGCAGCATCTTACCTGGGGTGTCGGAGGAGGACAGCGCAGGTGAGTTCAGTTTGGGCCGCTTTGCGCTGGAGGGACCCATATCCAGCAGATTATCAGCCATCGTGCTCTCTCGCCTCACAAAAAAACACGACAAAACAACAAATGCGTCTTCCGAGAGCCCGGAAGGGGGGACAAAGCGAAATAAATCAAATCAACCCTCGGGTTTCTCTATTATTATTCAGCGAGCAGGGGCCAATAATTAACAGATGGGGCTCAAACGCGACTCAACAGCGCCCCGCTCCGCCACCGCCATTCACCCCATGATAATCCAACACCCAAAACCCGCATAATTAACCTTAATGATCACCCCAAACCCCACGGAAATAAATTATATCATCGTTAAAACCGACAAACAAACGACGAGGGAGAAAAATCATCAAGTCCCGATTGCTTCAAGCGGCTCGCGTGGGTCTGTTCAATTTCTGCGAATAAAAATGAAGACCTTCGCGCTCCATGTCCAGCCCCAATCGAATAATCAGTAAAGTCTAGAAATATAAATGAAAAATGAGAACAAATATTTCTATTTTAATATAGGCGAGTGGCACAGGAGCGCCGCTCGCGCTGAAGGGGGAAATCAGATATACGGGGGTTTTCCAGCCGACCACAAAAACGGCTCCATTACGCTGATATTCGCCACAAAGATCCGCGATTCGGCCCGAAGCTTGTCGTTTCCGTCGCGGGGAAGCTATTTGGGCCGGTTCCGGTGGAGCCGGGCGCGTAAAAAATGATATAATGCTCTCCCGAAATCCTGACGCTCATCCGCGACAAGATGGCGGCTGTTGATTCCTTCGATACAAAAAGTTTTTTTTTCTTTTCCAGCCAGACTGTGGAGGGGGAGGGGCTGCGCGGCCACGCCCCTTACGCAAACGCGCACGTCACGCAGTCGTAACCAAAACAGCCGCTAGGGGGCGTGGTTTACATGTAAATGGCGTAGAGATGTAGTATTCAATCGGGCCCTTACAAAAGTGTACCATACCACAGTGAGTACTCTAATCTAGTACAATAAAACGCTGATATATCTTTATTAGAATTAAGAGATGTGTATTACGATTTTTCAGTAGTACTGCAGTAAAACTTGGTATTTTAGCAGACAACGGCACATTCTTGCAACTTTTGTAAATACAGCTGTGTAGACAAAAAGACATACTTGATTGGAATAAAAGGAAGAGTTCATCCCAAAATTAGATTTATGTGGTAGTGTGTGCAGGATACTGGTAATGTCAAATTTTAAGGTAGGCTAGATACATTACAAGTCAACAGACAGAACGCAGACTTTAAAACTGTATTATTGGCTTTCCCTTTTCATCCATTAGCTTTGATGTAACAGTATGGCACATGCACGGATATAAAAATTATGTGTCAACACACAGAGCAATGCAAAAGTATAAACATAGGAGAAAAAAAACTTTATACAAATGAATACAGATTGAGTTTATAAATGAAGGTATCTCCAAAGAAACAGAGAAACTCAAAATCATACATTCTTGAATAAATATACTCTTTAGCAAGAAGTCCCAGTGTGTGATATTTTTGTTGACACACACATTTGCGTGTCAAATTTTACATGCACACATTTCCTACGTCAAATTGCTTGGAATCATCAATCGGGCCAACTCAAGTGATTGTAAATAAAATAAAATCAAATGTGGCTCTTCTGTTATCGTACATTAGTTCAGTTCTTTCATTCACCCTAAATGTGTTTTTTGCTTTCCTCACAATAAAGTCTCAAACAGAATGGAATGGAAAGTTCATAAGGAGCACATTTCCATCAAAATAACTGATAAAAAACACAAATGTGCTTCGTCAAGCTAAGTTCAAGCAGCAGTTCAGAAGCTGAAGCGTAATACTTATTTAGTTGGATCAAGTTTTATATTGCTCTACTACTCTGAAACAGAGCCCATAAGGGTTGTGTGCTCATTCCCCCTCCAGACAGCAAGGGCACTTTTATTATTTAGCAAAAGTTGTGCCCTATAAAATATATTATAAATGCATGGATTGCTATATGCTTGGCGTCACCAAAAACACATCAACTGAACAGTATCAAAATCAGCACAGAATAAAATGACATATTAGAATGGCACCTTGGAGTAAAATTACAATATTCATCCTGTACATTTACAAATGAAGAGCAGTTCACATTCAAAAGGAATATACAGTGAAAATGGACACGTCAAGCTAATTGTTAAGAAAAGGCACAGCGCTAAAGATCACGTTAAATCTGAAGACATTTATCATACAAAAGCATTTAGTGTATGATAATGAACAGATAATCAGGATGACGTCATCTGACTGGTCAATGCATTTTAAATGAGTAAAAGGCACTAATATATACACAATGCGAAATACTGGCAAATCAATCGCTTTTTATAACAATTCCCGTTTAAATGTATAGGTTCTTGGCAAACTGCAAATTCACAGCAATGTCAAGAAAAGTTATACATTTCACATTTTCTCATATTCCTATAAATATCACCACTGAATGTGAAGCATGACAAATCAACAGAAAATTGTTGAGCACACAACCCTTTTAAACTAATATAGGTCACCCTTTATAAAGCCAAAATGCAAGGAAAAAAGCAAAGACATCAAACTGCTATCCAAAGGTAAAAACATCAATTCTTAAATCATGAGACATATAATGTATGCAGTGTCAGTGCAGATTAAGTTACTCACAAAGCTCAATGTTAAAAAGATTAAAATCTACTTCCTTTTGCTAATATCCCATACGATAATTTACCCTTTACTATTGCACATCAAAAGACAAGCAGGCAGAGTCAAGGCTATGGTCTAATCTATTCTAATATTCACATGAGTATGTACATATGACTGGCTGGCTAAATATATGTTACCTAGATTATACTGTTATGCCACTATATGGTGACTTAATTGGCAACATAATTTCTGGTCTCTTTAGATTTGAGTACAGTTAAAGTTTCTTTTTTCACATTTGAACTAATTGAACTAACTTTTACCGCTCAAGATGCCAGTGCACGATAATTCAAATCAAAGCCCATATGAAACGGCACACTCATACTCTCATTTGACGTAACTCTACGTGAAACATTATATTGCATGAGGATATGATTTAATTTGATCCATCAGTAATTGATTAGATGGTGGACGTAGACGATTCCAGCATTTTTCCCCAATATTTAAATATTTTTGACCAGAGTACTTCCAATTTTAAAGCGTTGTTTTCAAATCTATCATTATTTGCTATTATTGCCGTAATCAGTTTAATATTAAATTGCTGCACTACCTACAACAGTAGCCTAAAACAATGTTGTTTAGCTACTGATTATTATTATTTTCCATGCCCGCGCATCCTAGGTGACGTCAACTGAAAAGAAAAGTCGTTTCAAAGGCGGAGCAAGTTTAAATTTTGACGAAAGATTACAAAGACAAACATTTTTGCTTTTTTCGACAAAGTGCACTGATGAATCGTCCAGAAGAGGCCAGTTGCATAAACATAGACACTATGTTAAGACTGTGTCTTACAAACTAGTTTGACCAACTAGCAGTGAGCCAAGGGGTAATCGGTCTTATTTTTTGGATTCACATTAGACCAGTCTACCTTTTTGTAACTGACTTTAAAAAGTTATGACCAGTCTTGAAGAAAAGAAATTAGATGACTAACTCTTTTTAAGACTAGTCTAGGCAGTTTATGCAACCCGCCCAAGAATAAGACTAGGAATGTTTTTTTAGAAGAGCAAATGTTGATTTTATGTTGACTCGTAAACAAGCTATGCCTATATCTTAAAACCAACTGCCCATTTTTATATTTTATGTAAAGTCTGAAAGTCACAGTAGCTAATTCATGAATGCATTTTTGTCATTTAAGACTACAATCTCATTAGAATTAAGGCCAAGTTGCCACGTCGTATTAGAACTCACTGTTAGATCTCATCCGAAATTCAGGTGTTAGTCAGCCAATCAAGCATTTAGCTGCAAAGTGCAGAGCAACAGGAAAAATCACGGCAAAAAGACAGAAAGGCCATGACAGTTAGGAATACATGCATCAATATAAAACACTGTAGAAATGTTTGATATTGTTGATTGTAGATGATTTTAGCCCATAGCTTGCTCTACATTTCGTTAATACTTCTTCAGACACTTTAGGCCATGCACCATTCAACGTGATGGTTTTATCTTGGGTCTTTTTTAAAACGGCAATCATCGCAATATAGAGTTTGGCTTCGTAAAATTGTGTTGAATACTGATTGATGAATCTCCAACAGAGAGAACTCAAAAATATCTACAAATATTCCAAAATATATCAAATACTTTCACAAAAATTACAGCGCTTTCTAACATCAAATTGACATGCTAAATCCTTAAGATCTTCTAAAGATTTGATTGAGAATCCTTTTTTAAAAATGCCTCACACATATTGATATCATCCTAAAGGCACTTCATTAAAACCATTCACGAAAGGCAGACAGTAGTAAGAGCTAGAGGGAAATAATATTCGAAATTAAATTAGCAGGAATAACTGCTGTCTACTTAAGGATAGGACTTCAGGTCTGTGCCGTCCCAATGCATCTCCTCAGCATTTCTTATCCCATGTAGAAATTATTCCTGTGGCTCCTCTGAGTTTTAACGGTTCAGCACCGCCATCCAGATATGAAAGTATCTCCTGGTCCAGCTAGCGCTATAAACACTTCAAGGTGGTGTGCTTAAACTTTCCCCTTACACGGATGTAAATCTACGCTAGCATACATCCCTAAACATGCCAATCCCTACAAACTCAACGGAGAGCCTGTGTTTAAAGGGTTAAATTCAACAGAGACAACAATGTTGGCTTGTTTCAAGTCAAAGTTTTGTCATTTCGCCCATATACGCTATTTCTCCCTCCATTTTTGCAACAGCTTCTGTGTTTTCTGCTCGGACAGGAGGAGAGGTCAAAGTCTGGTCCGGTGGTTTTCCGAAAACCGCTGGACTCGCTCTCAAGCTGGTTTCTGGTATGCAAGTCAGGCCAACAACAGACGCAGATCGTTGAGTCTTGGAGGTACCATTGCTTCCAGCCTTCTGGGGAAAGTCTCTACCAGCGAATCCCTGTCCGGTAAGTCCTGAGCTCACAGAGAATGACGGGCCTACTCTACTAGCATTGGCCGCTGGGACCATATTGGCGATCTCATCGGTGGGCGAGCGTCCGATGCTGCCATCCACCTGCGCTCGGATTTCCGGAGAGACCGAGAGCTGGTATTGAGGTACATGTCCGCTGTCTGAGCTCTTCGGGTAAAGGTAGGTCTTCATTTGACCCTTGCCCTTCACGTTGACGGTACCGCGGTAGTCGAACTCGTAGTCCATTCCACTGAGCACGCAGTAGCTCTCCTCGCTAACCTGAACACGACACTCCACGCCAGTTGTGTCCATTCGGCTGGCGATGTTCACCGTGTCGCCCCAGATGTCGTAGAGTAGCTTGGTGGTGCCGATGACTCCAGCGGTAAGAGGTCCGTGGTTGAACCCGATTCGCAACTTGAATTTAAAGCCAAGCATGTTTTTATTAAAATCGTCCACAACGCGCATCATTTCCAAAGAAAATTCGAAAAGCGCTCGCAGGTGAGCGTGCGGATGGGCTTGATCGCTACACTGTTGCGTATTGAGCCCCGACGCCGCCATGTAGGTGGCGCCAATCGTCTTGATCTTCTCGATATTGGAAAAGTCGGATTTGCGCAAGAGTTCGTCGAAGTCCCCGATGAGTTCGTTCAGGACGCGGTAGCACTCCTTCCCGCCTTCGTAGCTCTCTTCGTAGAACTCGCTGAAGTTGACGATGCTGGCAAAGATGACGCCCACGTTGTCGTGGTTCTTCGAGTAGCTCTGGGTCACCTTCAGCTGCTCGGCCACGTGGATCGGGATGATGTTGCGCAGGAGCCAGTCGGCCTGGTCCCGCATGTTCTGGATCTTTATGCGGTGCTGGTCTGCTTCCACGTTGCCGTGGTAGTGTAGACGGTAGCTCACCTCGAACTCACGGTTGAGGAACCAAACGAGGAGGAGCAACAGGAAAAAGGCAACCAAAGCTTCCGGGCCGAGCAGGTCCTGCGGTCGGATTGAATCTTCAGCAGGGGACTGGACGTCATTAAAGCTGCTGTTGAAGTCACTGGATCTGGTGGATACAGGGAAAGACAATTGCTAAAACAAAAAATTTAAACTCTAGGTTGAGACTTTTTGAGTGCTATGCTAGCATAAAATCAATCCAATAAAATGTGAAATAGTATCCATAGTCCTAAACTTACCTCAAAAATAAACGTCCCCACGTGCTAAAAGGAAAACAACAGTGAAAAGATAGCTTTGGATTAGTATTAGCATAACATAACTAATCTATGAAAGCCCAATAAAAGCATAATAATTCATTAACTTGCATAAATACTTTTATTCAGTAAAGATGCATTTAATTGATCAAAAGTGACAGTAAATACATTTATGATGTTATAAAACTATAATAAATAGTTATAAATAGTCTATTTTAAATAAATGTTGTTCTTTCGAACTTTCTATTCATCAGATAATCTTGAAAAATCTGTATATTTGAATTAGCCCAATAAAAGCATAATAATTCATTAACTTGCATAAATACTTTTATTCAGTAAAGATGCATTTAATTGATCAAAAGTGACAGTAAATACATTTATGATGTTATAAAACATGTCTATTTTAAATAAATGTTGTTCTTTCGAACTTTCTATTCATCAGATAATCTTGAAAAATCTGTATATTTGAATTATTTCTGAAGCATCATGTGACACTAAAGACTGGTGTAATGATGCTGAAAATTCAGCTTTGCATCACAGGAATAAATGACATTGTATTCAAATAGCAATTTTAAATATTCAAACAGTTATTTTAAATTGTAATAATATTTCACAATATTAGTATTGTTATGTATTTTTGATTCAATAAATGCAGCCATGGTGAGCAGTAGAGACTTCTTTCAAAAAAATCTTACTGACCCCAAACTTTTGAATTGTAGTATACACATAAAAGAAAATACTTAAGTCATTTAAATATCTTTTTCAACATGTTTTCTAGTTAAAATATGTAAAAATGTTGTCTTTTGTATGAGCATATTTTTCACTTGTTTTTTTAGAAAAACTGCAGTAAGTCAAAATACATCCTCATATTAAAGACATTCTCTAAAAACTATTCTTATTCAGTGTTGTTTCAAGTAAATAGATTTCTAAATATTTTATCTCAAAAACAGTATGTAAGATGTGTAATATGTGGGTCACACTTTAGTTTGGGGACCAATTTTCAATTTTAACTAACTATTAACTACAACTGTTTCCTCAATAAACTCCCAAACTGCTGCTTATTAATAGTTAGTAAGGCTGTTAAAGGGGCACCAAGAGCTTGTAACACTCCAAAGAGAAAGGAAAAAATGAAATCGCATCATATGACCCCTTTAAGTTTAGGTATGGGGTGGATTAAGGGATCTAAAATATGGTCATGTAGAGTAAGCCATTAATATGTGTTTTATAAATACTAAACAGCCAATATGCTAGTAATATACATGCTAATAAGCAACTAGTAAGTAGTGAGAATTGGTCGCTAAACTGAAGTGTTAGCATATGTGCACTGTGTGATTGTTTGAACCTGCAAGGGGGGCTCCAGAGCACACTGAGAAAGGTGAGTCCCGCTAGCGTCGCCAGGCTTGAACGCATCCAGAAACTGAGCTGGCAGAAATTGCTGTACTGGATGATGGCAATTATGACAGCACAGCAGGTGAACATGGTGAACTGGGGAAAAGAATTAGACATGAATTAAACATGCTCATGCTCGCAGCAGAGTACGTGCAGGATTGCAGTTTACAGAAATATGTACTTCCCTGACTCAGAGCAGCATCAAATTGCTTCAATTACTGCATCTTTGCTGTCTAGAGGTCACCAGACACGTCTATAAAATGTTACATAATAGATGTACTGTACCATACATACTTAAAGTGCACACTTAAAAGCATTTAGCCAAGCATGCACATTAATTCTGTTAGCATGACGCTATGCTGTGTTTCCTTTACTGCATATAAAATGGTTTCTTTTGTTTTAACAATATTTACAGCTCTTTTAGAGTCCTTTTGAGGAAAATCTACAACTTTTATTCACATCACTCACATATGATCCTAAACTCTGGATTTAATTCTGCTTTAAAGGTGCTGTATGTAGGATTGATGCCAAGTGGTTGAACTAGGTATTGCAGTCCAAATTCAAAATATTGGATAGGATTTTTTTCACCCGGCCCCTCCTCCTCAGAATTGACGCACGCGCAGGTTGCCAGATTGACGACACCAACAGGAACGAGCGCACTTGACGATGAATGAAATGAAATACGCTGTGTTTCCCGCCAACTGGCAACCCGGGGTGCTAAAATACAATTGGGTAAACTGGCAGTGGGCGGGTTTCGCAAACCAAAAACAGAGACCGACATTCCGGCCCGGAACACACATTTTCAAAGGAGAATAACTTATTGTAGCATTGTTTTTCAGATAAACAAGTATGTTAACTTAGCATGTTTCTTAAATATCTGCAAACACATTATGGTATTTTTATGCTATAGCAGAGTCAAAAACTTACATACAGCACCTTTAAAAGGGATCAACAAATTGGGATGTATATATAAACATATTTATTATAATAAAATTATACAGTACTGTTCAAAAGTATGTCATCGGTAAGATTTAAAAATATATATATTTTTGAAATAAGTCTGTTAAGCTCACCAATATTCAGAAAAGTTGTTACAATTTAAAATATATTTTTCTATTATAATATATATTTAAAATGTCATTTATTCCTGTGATGCGCAGCTGAATTTTCAGCATCATTACTCCAGTCTTCAGTGTCACATGATCCTTCAGAAATCATTCTAATATGCTGATTTGCTGCTCATAAACATTTATCATTATTATCAGTGTTGAAAACAGTTGTGCCGCTTCATGTCTTTTGGAAACCGTGATCATTTTTTCAGGATTTTAATGATTGATTTATGTCTTTACTGTCACGTTTGATCAATTTAATGCATCCTTCCTGAATAAAAGTATTAATTACTTTAAAAAACAACAACAAAATCTTACTGCCCTCAAACTTTTGAATGGTATATAAAGCATTTTATTTTGATTCTTTGGTCTGATAAGAATAAATTGCACTTTGACAAACCTGTGACTACAATTTGTATTATTTATATGCTTTTATAGTATTTATTAATATTTTGAATAATTTGTATATTCTAATCCTAAAGATGGACAGAAAATGGGTGCAGGAAAATGCTGCAATCTGAAACTGGACTAGGACTTGGGTACTGTAGAGTAGCTTGGAGTACTGTAGAGTATTCCAGTAAGAATTTTTTTTTTTTTTAATCTAATATGAATATGAATCAGAGTGCCATAGTATTACCATCACTTTACAGCTACAGTACAGTTTGAAGAGGGAAAAGATGAAAAGGCTAAACAAATGTACTTTATATTAAATAAAAACTATTCGACATGCATGAAAACCCCCTTGTGACATACATGCCCTTGTGTTTACCTGTATGGAGTCATGCATATTGCAGGTGATATGAGAAAACACAGCCACGGCAGGTAAAGACACCAGCACTGCTCCGATCATGTGACGGGGAACCCAGCCGGAAATGGCCCAGAGGAGGGTCCTGGTGCAGTTCAGAACGCTGTCCAGGTAAAAGGCTCTTCTGTAAAGTGGACAATGAGATATACGCATTTCATCAGCACTCTACAGCAACAGCTACATGCACTTTGTGTATTGTGCAGTATGCTGCAATGGTACCGTTTTAAGACTAAAGTAACAGTCTATTGTGAACAACAAAATGGAAATACATCCCAATAACATATTTGAATATGAGAAAAACTCTCATAACTCTCATACAGTGGAAGTCAATGGGAGAACTGTTTGGTTACCCACATTCTTCAAAATATCTCCTTTTGTCTTCCACAGAAGAAAGTAAGCCATACATGTTTGGAACAACATGAGGGTGAGTAAATGATGACAGAATGTTCATTTTGGGTTGAATTGTCCTTTTAAAGTGACTGAATGCAAATGAAACACATTTACATTTTTTATTTTATCTACAAAGGATGCCGAAGCTTTTGAACATGAAACAAACATCTGTATCAGCCTGGAACAGATCCAGACGCCTGCTGGTTGAAACTGAGGCTAAACGTGTCATTCCTCTAACATTATTTAACCACGTGTATTATTCTTTTAGATTTTCAGCTCAGTCCCATTCTGTTACAGCAGCAATATTTGCAGAATTTGTTCAGCTTATGAGGCTCTGAATACTCTGAATCTGGCATGACAGAGGCATTTCTGACAAGCATTAAAAAGATCATGCAATTTGATCTGATGAATATTTACATCAAGTAAAACGTTTGGCCTCATCCACACAGGCAGGTTTAATTAGGACATAATTCATCCAAAAATGACATTTCTAGCATCATTTATTCACCATCATTTCCTTCTAAACATGTACAATTTTCTACAAATATAGCATGCCATATTGCACTATATTTGATTATTCATCAGGGGTCTTAACTAAAACTAAAATCATAAAAAAATGGTTACTTGAAATAAAATAAATGTTAACTGAAATGAACTAAAACTTGAACTTATTGCCAAGGCAACATTAAAATTTTTTGTTTAGTTTAAAATTAAGTACTAAAACAATTCAATATAAATTAATTAAAACTACTAAATAAACATTAATAAAAACTATACATACATACAAAAATGAAATAATTTATTCACCCTCATGTCATTCTAAAACTCTAAAATTAATTTAGTCCAAACCTAGAATGCCGTGTTGCAACATATTTGATTAATATAATGTACTAAAACCATTTGAAAACATTTTTGATACTTGAAATAAAATAAACATTAACGAAAATAAGATAAAATATTAATAAAACGATCTTATTTTATTTAATCTAGTTGCCAAATCAACATTTTTAATTTTCGTTTAGTTTAACTTGAAGTTCTAAAACAACTAAAACTAAATAAACATATTTAAAAAAAATTATAATAATAAAAATGAAAACAAAAGACAAAATTAATAAAACTTTAACTAAAATGAAAGTGAAATTAAAATATTTAAAAAACGTTATCTTATTTTTTAAATGTTCCTTAGAAAATATGAGATATGTGTTGGTGGCATGTATTAATCGTGGGGTGCATGGGACATATATCAGTCGCTAAGGAAGCCGTTTGATAAATGGATGATTACAATTTTAGATCGCAGCATACGAATGTTAATGTTTCAACACGCAAAACCTATCCTCTGCAGTGAATGGGTGCCGTCAGAATGAGAGCCCAAACAGCTGATAAAGACATCACAATAATCCACACCACTCCAGTCCATCAATTAACTTCGTCTTCGTCATGTTTGTAAGAAACAAATCCATCAAGACATTTTTAACTTCAAAGAGTTGCTTCCGGTTAATATAGGAGTCCTTTATTCATAATACTGCTTTTTCCAGTGAAAAAGTTGTCTTGTCTGAATGAGGAGAGAAATATGCACAGATCGAATGTGAAAACAATCCAAAACAGTTCTAAACAGATATGTTGGTGGATTTTAATATGAGAGGACCACAGGAGATGGACTTTTTCCACTGCAGGAAGCGTTACTACAGACTATGGACTCGTATTTTGGAACTGAAGCGACGCTTTAAAGTTAAAAAATTTTAAGTTTTTTTTTTTTACAGTTTTACAATTTGACAGTTTTTCATATTGTGTCCTTTGGTTTTTGTGCTAAAATCCTATACACACAACCATTTAGTACAATGATAGCTTTTCTAGAGGAAGACAAGAAAAATGGACCGTGTGTCCTGCGGTCCTGGACGTAGTACATCACAGCACACTACATCAAAGTGCATCAAGTGTCCCTCTGGGAACAGCATGACCTCCGTTGGCGGCCGTTAAACAATAACGTTCCATCTTGTCTGACATTTTTGTCCCAGCGGGCCCCATCCTCACTGCTGTCGTTTCCTACCTGTCCTCCTTTATCACGTCTACGAAGTGAGCATCGCTCCTCTCGCGGAAATTTTTGGAGCGCAGTGGGATGAGGGCGGAGTGGTCCATGGTTCCCATGCTGCTGATGCCTCCTCCTCCTCCGGGCCACTTCTTCTCCTTCTCCTGCAGCATCTCACACAGAGAGGTCTGGCTGTGGGTCAGTGGCTGCTCCAGATGAGGGCTTAACAGGCCATTAAGAGTCTTGGGACTCCTGCCAGGCGGCCCCTGAAGAAGATTCAGATGGAAGATACAAAAAAATGAGAGAATTGCAGCACAAATTTGTTAATAAAAGGGCATTTCATTATATAAGACACTCTCAAATAAGACAATAAATAAGACCTCTCTAGTAAGAACATTTATGCACATATAGGTGCTGATGAAACCAATAATATGCACAAAATGGTAATGTTACTGTGCCCTTTATAGATTAATCACACAAAAATATGTCACCATGTCACACTTCAACCAAAAAAAAGTTTTTATTGTGATATCATTTTAATGGCAATTAAGTACATTCCTCCCCACATTCTCATTACTATAACAAGTCTGGATGTTTAATCTTATTGATTGTTTTTTTTTTCTCTCAATGGTAATTCATTATCATATGAAAAAGGCACTATATTGAATTAGGATGTACACTACTGTTCAGAAGTTTGGGATCAGTAAGACCTTTTTGAAGATGAAAAAGATGCATTAAATTTATCAAAAGGCACATTAAAGACATTTTTAATGTTTCAAATTTCCATTTCAAATAAAATGTTGTTCTTTTGAACAAACAAAAGAATACTGAAAAAAAAATTATCAGTTTCCACAAAAATATTAAGCAGCACAACTGTTTTCATAATAATAATAAGCAGATCAGCATATTAGAATGCTTTCTGAATGATCATGTGATACTGAAGAGTGGAGTAATGATGCTGAAAATTCAGCTTTGCATCACAGGAATAAATTACATTTTAATATGCATTCAAATAGAAAACAGTTATTTCATATAGTAGTAATATTTCACAATATTACGGTTTTATTTTCTATGTATATTTATTTACAGGGAAAAGGTTACAAAAATAATTTCACAGTTGAACAAATCGATCACACCAAACACACAAAAATCTGGTCTGCACACCTCAAAGGTTCATGTTCAGAACAGCACACATTCACACTAATTATGCAGTATATATACACTGTGCAGAGTATGCACATTTTTGCATATGCAAGAGGACCAAGACGACCTGACATTTGCTGAAATGTGCAGCACACAACCACAGCACAATGCCTGCAATACTTCATTGCACAGTGACTTATAACTTCCATTTCCAATGTGATGAATGAACTGAAAAAAAATGTCAACTACTATTTTTCATTTCACATTTGTTTGTACAGCGCTTTTCACCATGCATATCGTTTTAAAGCAGATTTACAGAAAATGCATGTTACAATCAAGAAGTAAAAAAATAAGGTTTATATTTTCTTGATGCATTATTTATTTGACAGCAAAACTGTATTGTTTTTATGTCTGAGATGGTGACTGGGCAACACTTGCTGAATTAAACATGCACAATGAATAATATGAGATCATATAGCAAATATGTCTATTGTTTGAAATGTTTATGGGTTCTTAAAGCATATACACTCTTAAAAATTAAGGTGCTTCACGATGCCTTAGAACAGTGTTTCCCAACCGGGGTGCCGTCTGTCGAGAGCAGGGGTGTCGTGTAAAAAAATCATTTTTATATATTTTTAAATTGCTAAAATATATATAATATCCATTTCTGAAGTCGCCAATACTTAGAGATGCACCGAAATTTCGGCTGCCGAACGTGGTGTGACGCTCTGCGTATTATCCCGCTCTATGCGTGTGTGCTCCGCTCAGTCGCTCCACTCCTATACCGTTCATGCGAATCGGAACAGCAACGTCCACTCAAAAATTGAGCCGACAGGAAACATCGATGTAGTACAGTATTGTTTCTGTCTGCAATAGCCCTACTGTGTTGTAACATGGTGTGGTATATGGGCAACTCTGCTAACGCTGCCCTCTCATTCATTGATCTGCTAACCGCTATGTTATGCTCGCGTGTTCTGATAATAATAGCTTTCTAGGACTAAACATTATTTGGATAATTGGTAAAAAAAAAAGAACAAAAAAGTTAAATATCTTAACCCTACTGTTAGACCTGCCTGAAAAACTAAAAAGCTATTTATTTAATTCGAAGGCCTGTCGTTATTTTTTTATTTGTGCTATCATTATTAATTTCTTTATTTTGTTCTTATTTTATTACTGACTGCTTACTTGTCATTTTTTATTAAATTCAAAGTTTGAAATCAAGCTATCTCGTGCTACTGCATCAAAATTACCCCACTGTAAAATTAAAAAAACACTGAGTGAGCAAATATTTGTGAGATAGTTATAATGGTAATTAAATAATGTTTACATATGTATAAAAGCCTACATTAAAATCTGTCATATAAATTGGTCTCTTCATTAGAAATTATCCTACTGATTGCCACCATTGATGGACAATTTTTTTAAATAATATTTAAAATATCTGTATGACATTATATTCTGCAGTTCTTCCCTGTTGTACCGAATATCTATACTTTTCAAATTATATCAAAGTTAGAAATTCAAATATTGTGACAATTTATTTTGTAGGGTGCCACAAGTTTAAAATTTCCAAAGGGTGCCGCGACTAAAAAAAGGTTGGGAAACACTGCCTTAGAAGAACCTTTTTGTCTAAATGGTTCCATAAAGAACCTTTAACATCTGAAGAACCTTTCTGTTTCACAAAAGGTTCTTCGTGGTGAAAGAAGGTTCTTCAGATTATAAAAAGGTAAGAAAGAGATGGTTCTTTAAAGAACCTTTGACTGAATGCTTCTTTGTGGAACCAAAAATGGTCCTTGTATGGCATCACTGTGAAGAACCTTTATTTTTAAGAGTGTAGCTTCACAAAATAATTAAAAAAAACACTAAACAGTATGCTATTATTCCATCTTAAAACTGTTTTTGAATATTATAACCAATAGGTGGCACTATCTGGTGACGCTATCTAATCTAAATAGCAGGACATTTTAATTTAATAAATTAAAAAAAAAAAATTTTTAAATAATACCTTTCATATGGAAAAAGAGCTGTTACATTATTTATTGAAACTCCCTTGCCCCAAACAAAGCAGTTCAGATAAATACTGGAACATTCTGGATTTTCTCATTCTATTCACTGAGATCAGGTGTAAGACACACACCTTGCTGTTGATGGTTTTGTGATCAGGATCTGAGCAGCTGTTGCTGTGAACCGCCCCGTCCTCAGAAGCTAACGCGCCACACGAGGGATGGGCAGACTGACGGAAGAGAAACAGGAAAACACGAAATGAAATTATGTGCAGCAGAACAGAGCCAAACACTTCACTTACTGTTTTCATTCAGTAAAAAGCTGAAGTTAGAAACAATACACCACATGGAAAGATCAGCGATCCAACAGGAGAGAAACACTTTGTTCATAATGCTAATGTGCTTAGTGTTTTAGCACATTGCTATGTGATTGCTATGGCATTGCTAGGTAATTTCTAGGTGTTTGAGTCAAAAAATGTTTTGCTTTCCATTTAAAGGGAGGTAAAAAGCTGAAGTTAGAAACAATACACCACATGGAAAGATCAGCGATCCAACAGGAGAGAAACACTTTGTTCATAATGCTAATGTGCTTAGTGTTTTAGCACATTGCTATGTGATTGCTATGGCATTGCTAGGTAGTTTCTAGGTGTTTGAGTCAAAAAATGTTTTGCTTTCCATTTAAAGGGAGAGTTCACCACAAAATGAAAATTCTGTCATCATTTACTCACCCTCAAGGTGTTCCAAACCTGTTTGAGTTTCTTTCTTCTGCTGAACATAAAAGAAGATATTTTGAAGAATGTTGGTAGGGCTGCACGATAAATCACATGCGATATTTAACGCGCATCTTATCAGTAAAGCCGGTTCTGTAATCAGCGGTAAATCTCCATCACCTGCGGGCTTTCACATTGAGCAGCATTAACTACAAAGAGACGTTGTTCATTGACAAGCTGCGTAAAACCACGTTCATATTCACGCGATTTTTTTGCGTAGCTCATCAGTGAACAACGGCTCTGTGTAGTTAATGCTGCTCAATGTGAAAGCCCGCACGTGATGGAGATTTACTGCTGATTACAGAACCGGCTTTCTGACAAGATGCGAGTTCAATATCGCATGCGATTTATCGTGCAGCCCTAAATGTTGGTAACCAAATAGTTGACGGTAGCCATTGATGTCCATAGTATGGGAAAAAAAATACCATGGAAGTCAATGGGGACCAGCAACTGTTTGGTTACCAACATTCTTCACGCATAAAAAAAAAGAAAGAATGTTTTTGTGCTAACGTTTTGAGAATGTTGTTTGAGACCAGATAACTTCACACAAACATTCTATTAAAGGAATAGTTCAGCCTTAAAAAAAAGGCTTAAAATGTGCTCACCCTCAGGCCATCCAAGATGTAGATGAGTTTGTTTCTTCATCGGAACAGATTTGGAGAAATGTAGCATTTCATCACTTGCTCATCAATGGATCCTCTGCAGTGAATGGGTGCCGTCAGTTTGAAGTTAAAAAGCCTTAATGATGGATTTGCTTTACAAGATGTTAACTGATGAACTGGATTACTTGTGGATTATTGTGATGTTTTTATCAGCTGTTTGGACTCTCATTCTGACGGCACCCATTCACTGCAGAGCATCCATTGGTGAGCAAGTGATGTAATGCTACTTTCTCCAAATCTGTTCTGATGAAGAAACAAACTCATCTACATCTTGGATGGCCTGAGGGTGAGTACATTTCCAGCCATTTTTTATTTCTGGGTGAGCTATTCCTTTAACATCACTGGTAGAATGTTTGTTCATAACGTTCAAAGAACCTTCCCAGAACGTTAGCCAAAGTTAGAGTGATTTTAAACTTCTTGCTCTAAGTTTAATGCCGAAGGGTTTGTTCAAATCTCTATCTCCAATTTTGAACAACAGAAGTAGTAATGCCAGCTTTAGCAAGCAGCTCTAAAATGTGTTGCATCTGCCATTTAACATTTGCCGTTTGAATATGCAAGGGATTAAAAATCAACAGCATTTAGCCTCGGAGATGAATAATTACTACAGACGGAGACAGACAGACTCTTGTTTTCCCTCTCTGCTGTTTGCACAGGAGCAGCGAGCATGGTTCGCCTGCCCTCCCTTATCTTATTTTCCACTATCGCTTGCAACCCAAGGTCCCATCAGTATTAAAGTGCAATGACGAGAGTATCTTTTGCAAAGGCTGTCGGGTAATGTGGCGTCCTCTGAAAGGTTGCTTGGATGAATGCATTGTGCATTTAACTGATCGATCAAATTTAAAAGGAGAGGTGGATGCATTGCACACGGCACATTATGATCTCACAGATCTGGTCTGGACACGCTCACTTATTGACGTGCTCATTGTGATCCCTCACGGCCTTCCGCAAATCACTGCAGTGTTTCACACAATGAATCAAGCATGGTGTGTTTCCAGCGCAGTCCTTTCATCAGTAAATGGAATAATGCTGTTCAGAAAACACTTGAGAGAAAGCAGCATGCACAGAGACAGATTGTGCATTAACAAAGTAAAACCCAATACAACACCTGATACACCAACTACTAGTATTCATATATTCATTTGAATTAATATATTCAGAAAATTATTTTATGAATATTAACTCGGACATTCAGAGACTAAAAATAGCTCCCTAGTTCCCCATGATGTGATTCAATATATCTTGTATTCTATACTGTATATGTACTGTATGTGTGTGTGTGTGTGTTTATACTGTATATACAGTGGGTACGGAAAGTATTCAGACCCCCTTAAATTTTTCACTCTTTGTTATATTGCAGCCATTTGCTAAAATCATTTAAGTTCATTTTTTTTCCTCATTAATGTACACACAGCACCCCATATTGACAGAAAAACACAGAATTGTTGACATTTTTGCAGATTTATTAAAAAAGAAAAACTGAAATATCACATGGTCCTAAATATTCAGACCCTTTGCTCAGTATTTAGTAGAAGCACCCTTTTGATCGAATACAGCCATGATATATATATTAGGGCTGTCATCGTTAACACGTTAACGCATGTGATTTATTTTACAATCCTTAACATGTTAAAGTAATTTAACGCAATTAACGCAAAATGACTGAAGCACAATTTCTATTCTAACCCTTTAACCCAATGTTGCTTCTCTGCTTGCGATCAGATCATTTTAAGCTGCTAAACTCCGGGAAAGTTTTCAGTCCAATGATCCAGTAAGCGAATGCATTCAATCAATCCATCCAAAACAGCGCTAATATAAAGGAAACCAGGCTGATTACATCAGAGATTGCAGAGAGAACAGAGACTCGCGTTGCGTTTTCAGTGAAATATTCATTCCAGTGTTTGGCTTTAAAACACGATCTCTGTCATATTCTGTGATTGTCTCTGAAGAGCGTGAGCCCTCACACGTCATGCTGTGTGAAGTACAGACTGAACGGATTGTCAACACATCCCACCGCTGTATGGCCAGATGAGACACAAACTACGTTTTCTCGACTGGATAACCAGTCTCTCTAGTAAAGTTTGGATGGATGAAGACTGCAATCAAGGTAAAGACGATTGCGGTGGCGTACAGGAGTCGTACAGTAAGCACGATTGTCTCTCATAGTTGAGGTATACCTATGATGAAAATTACAGGCCTCTCTCATCTTTTTAAGTGGGAGAACTTGCACAATTGGTGGCTGACTAAATACTTTTTTCCCCCACTGTATGAGGGAATTAAAAGTTATTTATATTTCTAAACCTGGATAAGTCATGGACAATAATTAAATCTTTAAAAGCCATGGAAATTTGTGATAATGAATATACATTTTTCTAGTTATGTCAAGCTCTAAAATATTTTATTGAGTAGAAACTGCTGATTTTAAAACGTCATATAAATGTATTGTTAATAAAAAGTGTAATCACTGAGGAACATACAGTTATTGAATTACAGATTTTAATTATTTGAAATTATATATAATACACGATTATATCATTATTATATAATATTTTAACTCACATTATATTAATTTTAACTATGTTTTTTATATATTTAATTGAAATTTGATTGTATCATGATATGATATGATATAGGATATGATATATTTGTGATATATGATAAATTATTAATTGTTAGATAATGAATTAATAATACTAATTTATATTGATAATATATATTTTATAATAATAAAACATCATACAGTTTCATTATATTATAGTATACTTTAAATTGTTAATTGTAAATATTAAAATAATGAATTAATAATGATGTTGATAATATATAACTTATAATTACAGCACATTTAAAATACAATGTAATATATAATATATTATATTATTTTAATTGTAATATATTACATTATTAATAGTAATTATTAAAATAATTAATCAATAATAATAATAAGTAATAATGATAATATTTAATTTGTACTTACAGAAATAAAATGAAAAATGATAATTTAATTTTTGATAAATTAATTTTAATATAATGACACTCCAAGTTTCTATAAATAAAGAAGTTGATCGAAACTGAGCAGCTTTGTCATTATGGCAGAAGTACCAGAAATATCTTTGGCCTCACAGTCATTGTCTGACAGTAGTAGGCCTCAGAGTAAAAAAAAAAAATGTTGAGAACTGCTGCACTAAATCAGTTAGTGTGAAGTGATTACAAGGTTGCACATTAAAACGTCACTTTTAATTATGTAGAATAAAGGATTTTGGAGTTGGGCGTGTAAGTGAGTGTGGGACTGACCTTAGCTCTGTCCGGGGCAGGGGTCAGAGCGCAGGCGGAGGATGTGACGTCAGGGCTGTGGCTGAAGGACGAGGTGCTCAGAGACTTTCTGAGCTCAGGAGCCACCACAGCAGATGGAGGGCAGCTCCACTGGGCGTGCTTCACCTTCCTGCCGGATATCAGATACGTCTTAAGACCTGTAGAGGACACACACACACACACACAGTGTGACCATCAAGTCCCAGCAGTGTTTGTCCATATCAGTTTGGTTCATTGTACACTGATCTGAGCTGACAGTGTTTGAACGGATTCATCAATCAACTCTGAGAAAACACATGGTGTGTGAAGAGAGACACTTAAAGTAACACACAGTAGTGTGTGTCGAGTGCACACTGTACACTTTTTGTCACAACCAAAACAAAATATATTATTTTTCTGTAAATTGTTAGTGAAAAGAGGTGTTTGGAAATATTATTTTAGTTGTTTTACTTTTGCACTTATTTTAGATGAAGGTTGCCGTTTTTTGCAACCCTTTTACCAGTATTTGGGACCTTTTAAAACCCTGATGTGTGGTTTTGTGAACACAACACCACACAACAATAAAATAAAATTAAAAATATTAACTTAACTCTGGCTAAAAATCTGGGTTTGCTGACAAATGCCCCAAACCCTACTAAAACCAGCAAACCAGACCACCTTGACCAGTGCAAACCAGACTGGCATCAGTGTAAATAAAGAAGACATTACTTCAAATGATAATTTGTTTTGATTTCTCCATTCATAATCAGCAGCTCAGGCTGTCTCTGAAGTGATCAGACCTTCGACTCAGAAAGTGAAATGAATCCACAGTCACTGTAATGATGAAACATCCCCACAGTCTCTCTATCAAACACCTGCTGAATGCATCTATTTTCTGGAAAGAAGCTGGAGATACAAATAAAAATCCACAGGGAAGCTTGATGGAGGAAGAGAAAATAAGCATCGACTGTGAGAGGTCAAGTGTTTTATAGCCACCACTAAAAGAGTCACTTTACACCAAAATACTGGCCAGACAGCTTCGGCTGACAGCAGAGGAACTAAAAACGTCTGCGCCAATGTCAATGTTTGAACTAAGCGTCTGTGTTCCCATACTCACGCACATAATTCACCTGTCAGCGAACAGCGGCGGCTGGCAGGAGATGCATGAGCTGGCGCGGACCAACAGATCTGACATAAAATCACTGTGTAGCTCCATATGGGGCCAGGCGTAAAACGCTCTTAAAACTTCATGAATTTTTAATGAGGTTTGAAAATGGGGATTTCAATTTGGCCACTTCACCAAGATGACAACTTTGAAAAAAAACAAACCCTTGGAGGAAAATATGTGCTGGGATTTATTCGTTTATTACTTTTCCATTTAATTCACTAACCCTGGGACGCACAATATACGGACTCAAAAAAAAAAAAAGAATTAACAGAACAAAGCAATCATTTTGCATATTTAAGTAACCTACCTGTTAATCTATTTGGAGTAGTTACAAGACATTTCAGACACCATGACATGAAGCATATAAGCAAAGGTAATGATGCATTGTGTAAAAGAACAATGCAATGATCTAATAATGAAAATGTAGTGTAAAATACTGCATTTAATCTATTATGATTACTATATTAACACTCAACTGGGGAAATATGGAAGGAAATATGATACACCTTATTAGCCTGGCTCATGAACATTAATTTAAATGAACATTCACGCAGTAGTCCTAACTGATTTGCTGAAAATATAACATAGGTAGCATAGGTAAATGTGATGTATTATTGAAAATTATTATATAATATTTTATTTTACTAATAATATTATACATTCACAATATCCGGTTATATTTGCACCAGCAGTGCAGGCCCATTAAACAAACAAATATACACACTAACAAACATATGATACACCTTATTATCACACCTCATGAATATTAATTAAGTGACATAATATTCACCAGATGATATTTGAAACTCACATTCATTAGGATAATAACATTTGGTAAAAGTTTATTTTAAAATCTTACTATGTAGTATATATATACACACACACACACAAAAGTTGCTTTTGTTTTGTGATTATTTTAGAGGTTTGCAATTTTTTCAACCCTTTTACCAATATTTGGGACATTTTAAAATCCTTTGACTAACAAAACACAAAACACAAAACAAACAAAAAAACAAAACACAAAACAAAAACACAAAAAAGAAAACAAAACAAAAAACACAAAACAAAACCTAGAAGACTGTCACGGGCATTGCAAGAACACAGATAAGGATGATGAATAAAGTTCCAAACGACTCAAAGTTGAATAATAACTCCAACAAGGCAGGCAGTAGCAAACACTTTAAACATAACAGTGACCGGACAACAAGTGACAGAGATGGTACAAACCCAAACGAGATGATTAATCAAACACAGATCTCATAATGACGGTGGCCATAGTAACTAAAGAGTGGCAAGAAATCAAAGAAAGGAAGGCATGAACTGAAGAAACACAAACTAAAAGTCCTTGGACTGAACTAAACTGAACATAATGGTGACAATTACATTACAGTTATTAGGTGACATAATATTCACCAGTTTTATATAAAACTCGCATTTAATAGGATAATAATATAAAATTAAGAATTACATTATTATTAGAAATATTATCAAATTGTGCAGCCCCCCAAACAAATTAACTAAACACAAATACATAAATATAATGTTCATAATTTAGGGGGACATATGGTACACTTTAATAGCCTGCTACATGAAAAAATAATTAGGTGGCATAACACTCACCCAGAAGTCATATTTGCTGAAATGCAGTCAAATGTGAGTGTAAGCCAAAATAATGACTGCTTATATGTGACCCTGGAGCACAAAACCAGTCTTAAGTTGCTGGGGTATATTTGTAGCAATAGCCAAAAATACATTGTATGAGTCAAAATTATAGATTTTTCTTTTATGCCAAAAAACATTAGGACATAAGTAAAGATCATGTTCCATGAAGATATTTTGTAAATTTCCTACTGTAAATATATAGTAATATGCATTGCTAAGAACTTAATTTGGACAACTTTAAAGGCGATTTTCTCAATATTTCAAATATTTTCTAGATTTTATAGTTGTATCTCGGCCAAATATTGTCCTATCCTAACAAACCATACATCAATGGAAAGCTTATTTATTCAGCTTTGATATGGTGTATAAATCTCAATTTCGAAAAATTGACCCATATGACTGGTTTTGTGGTCCATGTGTATTCCACGTGTAACTTTATTTGTACAAACATGATTCCTAACAAAAAATACAAAAATATTTTTTTTTGGATACATTTTAAACCTTGAATCTGTACATAGATATAACACTGTTTAATGGTGCTTAAGGTATCGATTAAGCACCGATACGGATCTACCAGAGCTGGTATCGATTCAACCCCACTCCACTGTAAACATCAACCTGACAGTGCTGTTCAGACAGATATCTGACTCCATCTGGGAAACTGAGGATAAACAAACACACGGGATCAACTGTAAAATCCTGGAACTACTTTTTGTTATATACGCAGCCAAAAAGACAGGAGAATGTCAAATGACTAATCAAGCAGTAAGCAAGCACTAGCTCTGTATCTTAGACGCTTTAAATATTTTTCCTATGCAGGGGCTATTTTTAGAAAAGGTCAAAGAACAGAAAACACTAAGGATCGCTAATGTGTCACCCTTTCACCAAAGCGATCAAAACAAGCCAAGCTGTGAGCAGACTTCCTCTTCTCTCAGGGACATGACGTCGTGAATGAGCCACAAAGAAACGCTCAACTCTCTGAATGAGTGACAATGCTGCAGCGCACACATCACATGCATGAGACTCTCCTGAGGCCGAAGAGAAATGGCTGGCTTGTATTTTACCCCAAAATCAAAAAGAAAACCAGAAATATTGTATTCTGTCATCAAAACAAAACCTATAATAATTGTAATGGTTCTAAAAATAGGCTTAATTTTCTTCATGCAATTGAATGCTGAGGTGAGTAATGACCCGAACGTTTCGTCTTCATGAGCTTTACTCCTTCAGCTCTATTCATGCTCTCGTGCATGAACATAGAAGAAAAAGACAATCATGGGAATGAGGAACATTTCGGCTCCATCTTCAACCTAATTAACAGACAGTAAAGCCTCACCTCCTACAAAAAACCGCACACATAATTAAAAACGTCGGAGCAGGGATGACGAACGGGTCACATCTCCAGACGTACTCCAAACCCTGAGCCAACAAGACAGTCACTTCACACCCGGCTCAATGAAAGAGCTCAACCTGCGAGCCAGAGGAGAAACACCAGTGAGTCGAGGGCTTTTACTGCATATGACTGACAGCAGAAGCTCATCAGGAGAGTTTTTAAGTAGGCTAGTATTTGATACAAAATAAAAAATGTTATTAAATATTACATAAGAAAAAATACATAGATTAAAGATATATATAAAAATCTATAATGTAGGTTTTTATATAAAAATGAATAAGTATTATATACAAATTTTGTATGCATGTATACGCAATTTATTTAAGTAAACTTTTTTATAAAAATGGTACTCGTAAAATTTAAGCACATTATTATATTTACATACATACATATAAAATGTACTTTAATTATATATATATATATATATATATAAATTACTTGCGTTTAAAAATTAGAAATTTTTGAATATATATATATTTATTTATGTGTGTGTGTGTGTGCACGTGTAATTTAAAACATTATGTAGTTTTTATGTATTTTTATGATTTTAAGTAAATCATATAATCATATATATGTATTTATATAATATATATATATATATGTATATAATATATAAAAAGCATATAGCATTTTATTATTTAAATTTATAATGCATCAAATAATTTAGAATGTATAAAATATAATGTTAAAAAATATATGAAATTATATATATATACATATGTATATAATATGTATATTATATACATATATTTAATGATTTCATGTATGTATTAAACTTAATTGCACACTTAAGCCCATGAGTTGTAAGAATATATTAAATGATGTGAAAATCATGCCGTTTTGGAAGGATGTTAGGTGAAATAAATCTCTGTCCTGATGCAGAACGTTTGCTTCCCATCAGCGTTCTGACTGACTGAAGGTGAGGAATACTCACTCTGAAGACATGGAGCGACAGCTGG